GTGTAGGTGTAATATCTTTTCACTAGGATAATTTGCAGTGTTCAGTTCCTACTGTTCACACAAATTAGAGTAAATTTGCAGCTACTAATTTTCCAAATGTAAATAATGCATTGTGATAATTTCAGCTAGTTTGAGTAGATATGCTCTACATTCTAGATGTGTGCATTTTACTGGACATCAATTGTTTCCTACATTGGTAAGGCAATATTAGACTAAGCATTGAAGAAGGTAATAATTATTCTCTTCTCTGGTAATGTCTTCCTTGGTGACTACTTACATGCAGAGCTGTAAGTTTCCCAATAGACAGCAGATTTGCGTGGTTTTACTAGAAAGTAAAGATGTCAAGTGCTCTCTTGAAAGGTGAGGGTATGACCAAATTCACGAAAGTCAGTCTGGGGACAGCTTGTTCGACTAAATAATACACAAGTCTTAGAGGGCTCCCCCCCCCCTCTCCACTCCTCTTGTTTGATAGCTAATATAATTCCCAATTATTTTAATCTTTAAAGATATTTTAGTAAGCCTGTTAACATTGAGTGTTATAGTCTCGAGCCTTGCGAATTAAACTGTGTTATGGAATTTTAAGAAGTGCGTAACTAGTATTGGTTTCTAATTTGGACAACCTCCTGCGCTCTGGCAGCACATGAACCTGGGTTTTGTTCAGTTCTGGCCCTGAAGCAGTGTTTATATCTGGCCCCCCCACACCTCGCCTGTTCTGGCTGGCGCGCTCTAATCCTTTATATTTTCCCGGAAATTGTTTTAATTTAATTTGTAGCTATTCTGGCTGTTCTTTCAGATAAATTAACGAAAGGGAAATTAACCGGATGGCTAGGTATTATTTAAGGTAGCTTTTTTCGTTTTATCAGTATTTAACTCTACCGGTTTCGGGGGCTCTACCCCTGCAGTCTGGTGAGGCCAGGCTTCCCTGTTACCAGACTGTTTGTACTAGCAGCCCGCAGTCTAATATAGTTATCACAACCTTGCTGATCTGGCATTTGCAGAAGGACGCTGTCTAAATACTTCGATTTGCCAGCATTTGGTATCTGCTGGTAATGTTGTGGGCCATGGTGAGTGTTCCTATATTATACCCTTGACCCTTCTGCACTTCACTGGGTTTATTCCACTCTCCCATCAGTAGTAACAGCCTGGTTGATCAGGCCCTGATCCACCGGGAGGCCTGGTCATGGACCGGGCCGCGGGGGCGTTGATCCCCGGAATAACCTCCAGGTAATATCCCACTCCGGTCTAGTAGTGCGCAGGTTAGGAACAAGGTCCTTGGGGTAGCTTCCCAGTATGTATTAGGGCATCTCATTGTTCCAGGGAGCGCAGGTGTTCCCGATAATTAAGATGTTTTGATTCGATGCGGACAGCGTACGAGTTCTATATTTTCCAGCCCCGATTTTTTCTGCCATGAAAGGCGCTTTGAGAGTATAAACATATTTAGGTTTTTCTCAGTTATAATATTTGTAAAAGTACAATCTTTGGCGTTACTTTTGAAAGTTCTCAAAATCCACTCTCATTTTCCTGACCCTCGCTGCATTTACGTTGACGTTTTTTTTAAATGACAGATCCTCTTGACACGAGTATTCTTGTTAGGTAAAAGGACTCGTGTGTAACCAATGAGACATTTTATTGTGGCAACGTTTCACTCTCCAGGAGCTTTGTCAGGCCGTTACAGCTGTAACGGCCTGACAGAGCTCTTTAGAGAGTGAAACGTTGCCACAAAAAATGTGGCATTAGTTGCACATGTGTTCTTTACCTAACAAGTTGTCGGTAATTCTACCAACATTATTACAATGATTTATTCTTGATTATCAAACTTTTTTTTACGCTCTTGATATTATCTACCACGTTCTGTATACTGCGCTCGTTTAGAGTCTTAGTTTCTACCGTGCTCAAAGCAGTTGATATTTGTCACCATTAAACGTCATGTAGCATTTTCATTTGTTATAAAAATGATACGAATGTGTAGTTAGTACTCGTGTTTCTTGAGGACGAGAGACCGTAATGATGCTAGGACCGTTACCTGCAGTAGCTTCCTGGGGTCACTGCCCCCGCGGCTCAGTCCTAGCCCAGACCACTTGGTTGCTGGTCTGATCGATCAGGCTGTTGGTACCCGCGACTCAGTATGTATGCACCACAGCCCGGCTGATCAGAAACTGATTTGATGAAGAATTGTTGTTCTTGAAGACATCCTTGCCTTAGGGTACTAAGCTGTAAAGTTGTATTTATAGGAAATGTCGTATTTATATTTTGTTACATGAAATTTAAATATAAGGGTCAGTTTAAATTGTTGAGGTGGGTGTCCCGTGGCTCAGCTCAGTGTCCGGGGTTCGATCCCCGGTACGGGTGGAAAAGTTGGACATGTTTCCTTACACCTACTGTCTCTGTTCACCTTCAGTAAGTAGGTACCAGTGTGTTAACAGACTGATGTGGGGTCACATCCTGGGGGTGGTAATATACCTTAGATAGGGCTGGGGCCATGAAATAAGCTGAGGTAGGATTCTCGTAGCATATAAAGCTAATTTATAAAGAAAATCACCCGAAGGGGGCGTAGTTGTGGCGGACAGGCGGCTGTAACCCGCAGTATCCCCTTTAACGGCTCTCCACCACACTCGTTCACGACTGTGCTACTGCTGCTACCTAGGCTTAATTTCAAAATCACCTTCAGAAATTTAAAATGAGTTTATACAAATAAATAAGAAAGCGACTGCACAACTAGATAAACATTAATCTTGTTGACTCGTGGTGGTAGTGGTGTAGCCAGTTTAGTCACACGACATATTCTTCATGCCTTTGCATGAGGAATGCTCTCTTTTAAGTGGGTTAAGATACATTATAAATTATTTAAAATACCTAGCTTGTAATGTAACAATGTCATGTGGGTTCGATAACGTGGAGGGGGTAAAAATACTCACGTAGGCTGGTAGTACGTATAATATATAACGGGAAGAATGGGAAGCACCATCAGCCGAACAATACCTTTGAGTTCACAGTCTTCCTGTTCCCGGAGCCCGGCCTTGTTTTAAATGTTGTCGTCACTGTTAGAGTTGTAAGCTATGATCGGGTATGCAATATCCTTTTTGTACTGTTTTGACATTAACTTTTAATTTTTTACGTAAAACATTGTCGCTTCCATTTATGTAACAAATGACTCTTAAAATATTTTTATTGCTTTTAATTAATCACAGAACGGTGTTTCCATACACCCATTGTGACTGTAAAGGCAGGTTTTACAGACTAATCTCTCACTAGCATGGTTGTGGCATGCTCTACCTCGTCGCCTCAAAACTGCTATTATGACAAAAGTAGCAAAACGCGATTGCAAGCAAATAGCAAAGTGGGTGAGGTTTCAACCAATAACAAGCTAGTCCTAAAATTGGCAGACTAGTGCGTTAACCATTGAAACGGAGTACAGGTCAAATTCATTAGAGCGAAAGTTCCATGTGCGAGACTTGAGAGTGATGTCAGAAGAACTCTCGTTCAATTATCACAATAGTGCTGCTAGTGCTACCGCAAGACAATTGAAAGGTTGGATAAATAGAACTTTCAAGAAAGATACTGAACCACTTTTTTTTTCCAGGCTGGAATACTTCTCTATACCAACGACGTACTTCAGTGCAGGCGAGATGGACCAGCTAAAAAAAACTGAACTTCTAGTGCCCATATACACTCACACTGGGAACGCTTGAAATTTTACTTGTATTCTTTGGAATGTAGGCGAGAAAGGTGCATAATAATTTACGCTTGGAAAATCTTGAAGGGACTGGTTCCAAACCTGCATTTGAAATTACTTAATGAAAAGGAAACCTGGCAGACGGTTCATAATACCTCTTATAAAAAGGAAGAGCACATAAGAACTCGATGAATGTCAGTCCATCCTCCCCCATCCCCCGACTTTTCATTGCCCTCCCCTCGTGTATAAAGAAAATTTCCAAACATCTGTCTTCAAGAGGAAACCTGACAATTTCCTTAAATCAGGTTCTGACCAACAGGTCTGTTGACTTCGTTGCGGCCAGCAGTCATAGCAGCCTGGTTGATAGACCTTGATCTACTAGGATCAAGGGCTTCAGTGGGCGTTGACCCTGGATACCCTTCAGGTTACCTGGCCGCTGGGTACATAAAGCACTTTCTTAACAATGAAAACCATTGCTGTACAGAGCTCTGCCGACTGCTGACCACCTCACTACCTCCCAGTCGTGGGTAGATACACATTTTTCACCACTCGTGTTATTCCTCACGGGTCCTTGCCTTTTCTCATTCAGGCTTGCTTTTTTCGCTTTCACCTTTTACCACCTTTCTTCCCTGGCTTTGCTGAGCAAGTTTTACCTGACCAACGCTGAAGGAGGCAGTGACTGCAATTAGTGTAATTGTGAGCTGTTCTGCCTAAACGATAATCATTGTCGTGTCCGGTGGTGGCCCTGCCTCTTTGACCACCAATCCCAACGCTTCCTCGGGCACCTGCGCCACGCTCATTGGCCGATTGACTGCCTATAAGTTTTGCTAAGAGGAAGCGAGATTGGCTTGCATTCTACTATTGCATTTTATGCTAAACTATAATGTTTTAAACTGTGTGTATGGAGATAGGGTTAGCACTTTACTATTAAAAAAAGTGTAACAAAGATATTTCTTGGGGTTCACCCGGAATCTCTTCCGGGTAAATATTCCGGCTGATTAGGAACTGTATTGGGGAATCCGGAGAGTTTCCTCTTGCAGATAGCCAAGTGGTGTTGGTAATTCCCGTATGTATGAAGGCTGGGTGTTAAAAAGTTGTAATCTATTAATACTTGGAGTTATGTGATCATCCTCCCCTACTTTTCATTGGAAGTATCCTGCACAGTGCGAAGCCTCTTGGGTTCATAAGCAATAATTTTGGTGTCAGTAATACATAAGCTTTGCACAATCATAACTCTCCAGTGTCTTTGAGGCATAGATTCTGACGAATCTTTCTCGCCTGTGTTCCAGGGACTTCAAGAGCTCCCAGTAATTTGTGCTTCACTGGGCTTATAAGAACTGTGATGGCTCCCTGTACATCTTCCAGTTCAGCAATTTCGCCTGCTTTAAAGGAGGTTATTAATACACAGCAGTAATTCACCTAGAGAGAGAGAGAGTTATTTGAATTGCCATCATTGGCTTGGCAGCATTCATTGTTTTGAATTTGTTCAAATTGACTCCATTGAATTCTGTCATGGTTAGTCAGCATGCTTTCAACACTAATGTGCTTTTCATCGGAAATAGCAAAAGATTCTTGTAGGTGGGATATATTTGTTTCCCCTGGCAGTGTGTAATGCTAACAAAACTGCGCCACATTATAAATGCCTCCAACAATAGTTTAAATTGTGTGAAGTTTTGTTTAAAACATTTTAAACTTATTTTCATTTTACTACGTAAATATTCTTAAGAGGTACCCAAAGTAAATGTCTTAATGCTTCCTGCATGCTTGCCATTTATGTTCTTTATTTTAGGCAGCGATATTCGTGGCAGAGAGCAACCAGGAAACGTTCAAATATGTAAGAGTACGTACCACTGATAGGGAGAGTGAGTAGCCGTATATAACTTGAGAAAATACTTTTGTTTATATCACCTGAGCTTTGTGGAAATAATTAAATTCTACCCTAATCTACATGCCAGACTTGTGCTCTGGCAGCACTGCAGCAGAGTTGTGCCAAACTTGTCGTACTTGGCAGTAGCAGTTCAGTTTTCTGTTAGACTTTCGAAATGTTTATAATACATTAAGGAACGTGCACGTAGGCATAAGTACTTCTGACATAAACATAGCGGGATTGAACCGCGCTATAGAGTAATCCCGCTCTTGACCGGGTTCAATCGGGGTGTTATGGTTTATTTGAGTGTCATCCTAAGCATACTTCTGACATTATATATATTGAGTATTGATTGTTTAACGCTAGCTTTGTGAATGTGACACTTTTGTGTATGAATCTTAAGTTGAGGTGTAATGCTACTGTAGTGGTAGAGTAAATTGTGGTGCTCAAGGCCGTACATCAACATGTTATATATATATAATCTATATAACTGAGTTTATTATTAACTTCTTGATGAATTACAACTTTGGTAGGTGAACTGGAGCTTCAGTGACCACTATTAGACTGTTTAAAAATTGTCAAAGTGCCGTTTCGTCTGAAGCAAGGAAAGAATTAAAAGGTATATAACATTCCATAGTTTGGGACTAATTTCTTGTCATGCCTTAACATTACTGAAGAACCTGCCATTAGAACGTATGGACGCTGAATCCTTAGGCGGAACCACTAGTTATATGTTATACGCTAGTCTGGCCGAACGTGGCGTCACGTCACCAGTGGTGTTCCCTAGTTATCGCTGTAAGGTGCATTGGCAATTATGGAGACTGGAAAAGATCGTGGATGGCTTAACATTCTACACTTTATGGTTTATTGGCGTAGCATTTCCTGTATGCTGCTTATTTCTAACATTTCTTAAAGCAACCTCCAAATGTAGGAAGTACTGTACATTGTTATTTTACAGGTAACCAGGTAAATATGTGATTTGACACTGGTACTAATTTATACATTACTTAAATTCGTAAGTGCAGTCACGCATATCCTCGCTTAGTTCGCAGCAGTCATTCTTTCCTTTTAACTAAATTGACAGGTAACAAGTTTACTACGATCGAACAGGGAGTCACCTAACCTCTAGATTTCCCACTTTCCCAGTACGTATCTCTTCAGTCTCAATCCTCCTAGAATGTGCTAAAGCTTGTATTGCTTGAGTTTGCTTTCTTTCCCACATCCATCCCTACTCTATCCCCGGAATATGCGCTATAAACTGAATGGAAACTACAATGTGCTTGGAGACAACCCCCCCCCCCCATTGCACGTGAAAAGGCTTAGACTAAAGTTGGTTTATATTGTACCTTAAATTTCCTGACTGTTGGGCACGCCATCCCGAGATCCCGCGTGATAGTAATGCCAGCTCTGCTAGAACAAAACTTTTTAAGTTGCTTATTCCATAATGGGATCAGAATGGTTGACCAGGCTAGCACCAGAAAGCCTGGCACAGGGCCGGACTACGGGAGTAGAAAACCTCTCGAAGATTTTTGGCTATATCCTTACCGTCGTACTGAAGTCTACCAGCTGAGGCTCTGATTTAATTACCCATGTCTGACGTCCATCCTCGGTGATGTGATACGACAGGGGAGACGCAACTAGCTTTTGTTTCCACACTGTCGATCTCATTAAGGTAGCACCGCACTGATGAATTATAGATTTTGAAGATTTTTTTTTTTTTACTCTTCCATCATTCAGGTAGGGAAGGGGAAGAGAATTGGAGTCTTTCCCGTTTCTTTTTGTACGTCTCACCCCAACACGTAATGTCAAGGGAAGGACCCTGGATCAATTATCCGTCAGATATCGTCTAGAATGTTTGCTCGGAAATGGGGATTAACCTTCGTGCAGGCTGGCAAGTCCGATTACCCTTCGCAGTGACTGTAGTGGGCGAGGCTAAAGGGAAAGTTATGGTGAGAACTAGGTTAGGGAAAAGACGTTAGTGATAGTTTACTAGCTCTACTGCCCACAGTCAACCATTATCTTAAGAGTAACTGCAGTTGTTGCTACCTAACACCACGTGAGCACATGAATCATCTACCCACACGAATCCTCGCACATTAATCAACTCATGAATTCTCGCGCACGCACATGAATCCTCGCATTAATCCATCTATCCATCCAGGGCTTCTGAGTTTGTGGTGTGGGCGTGGCGTTGATCGTGTGGGCGTGGTAGTGTGTACTGGAGTCTACCTCATCTGGGTAAGTGTGTCATGAAGGCCAGGGGGTCGGGCAATACGCCCCTCCCTCCCATGGCCTTCATTGTTAGCCACAAACAACTAGGTGATGTGAGCCAGCTGCTGGCACTTTAAGGTCGTGCTTTATATACATGGAACTGTTGACGGTTTTGTAGGTTGGAGGGCAGTGACAACAACCCCCCCCCTCCTTATTTCAACCACTTTGTACCTCCATCTACCACAGTCACTTCGCTCCCCCTTCCCCTTTCCAGTCTACTACAACTACTTTGCCCCAACTTACCATAATCCCTGAAGTGCAGACACTGCCCCTCTCCCAGACCCCAACCTAGTAAAACCACATGCGTTTTCCCCAACTTATCAAAGCATATGGGATAGTAAAGGGGGAGGTGATGTAAGATTAGGCTACACTTTTATGCAAAGTATAAGTTTTTTCGTATTAAGGTCACAAATTTCTTTGCGGTCCTGAGTGCGATTAATGGAATCGAATACGTATGACTACGAGGAACCTGGCTTGTCTGGAGAATCAATGACGATCGATGTTGATACTGTTAGTGCATTGTTACACTGCACCAGACCATTGTCAACGCTGGTCAAGATTTATTTTTAATACTTTTAGGTACACACTCGTACAGGAGTTAATTCTCATGAACGTCGAACTCAAAAATGTGGCAAGAAAGTTTAATTTGATGCCATTAAATATTAACTTCACAAAAATATAATCACAGGATATGGGGGATTAGGGCATAAAGGCGTGCAAATAAAAAAAATTAAATTTAGAGTGGGAGGAACTTAAATGCTGGTAAAAAAAAAAGACTAAAAGCCTAATGCTTTTTTCAAATTTGTTTTAGTTCTGGGAGGAGGAAGGACTAGGGAAAGGTTTTAGTCAGACGTCTGGCAGTCAGTAAATGATTGTAGTTTGCAGGGCCAGGTACTGTACCGCGTGAACAGTTCAACCCCCTCCCCCCCCAAAAAAAAAATATATATAAATGGTTCATTGTCTTCTTTTTACCTTTTCACTGCATAAAGAAAATTAAGGTTGCAGTTTTCCCTGTGTACCCCAATAAAGAATATTTTAATCCTCATTTCGAGAAAATAGTGTGTACATAGATGCACCTCTACCCTGTGCCTCTTTTTCATAACCCCTGGCTTACACTAACCTGGAGGATTGAATGTTTATTCAGGTTTAAATATGCAACACTTATCCTGACATTAAACTGTCATACCGAGGTTACCGAGACCTCCCCTCTTCATCCTCCCAATAGAGCACCTTTACCTTTGAAGAGCACTTACCACTTATACATCACTTAATCAGCAATATATGTATCAATAGAAATTATATACTGAGAAAAATGATAAATATGGCCACACGGTTATTACATTGAAACATGAGAGGATACATTATTACTGGTAAAGTACCACTTGTACAAGTGTGTCAGTAAAGTATCAGTAAGGTTGTACAGAAGTTGGGTTGTCGTTGGCAGTTATGCCTAGTAAGCAGGATTAGAGTATGATTAAAGTGCAGCTCATGACTTATGAGCGCTCGAGGGCATGGCCCTAACTTTAGTTCAAATCTTGGAACCAATAAAGCACTTAAATTACTGGGAACGCCATAGTCCTGAATATGGATTTATTGGAGTGGATGAGATAAAAGATATATACCTGGAAAGTACTTGAAGGCCTTGTCCCAGATCTGCACACTGCCGTAATATACTGGAGTGAGATATATGTGAGGAAAGAGCAAAATAAACCCAGTGAAAAGCAGGGGTGCAGTGGACACAATAAGGTCACTGCATCCACAGCTTGGTCCCAGACCAGGTCTCATGGCCTGATCGATCAGGCTGTTGGTGCCTGCTGCCACAGCCCAACGTATTCATCACAGTCCGGCGGAATTGATTTGAGGAACCTTTAGAGTCCCCACTTTAAGACAGCCAAGGATCTATCTGGCTTCTCCTTTATTCAGGGTGTTGTAAAGTCTTGGCCTTTCTTTACACTTAGTTTTGTATGCTGATCGCTCTCCCGCTCTTCATCGCAGGTATATTGCACAGTTTGCTAAGCCTCTTTAGTTCGCATGTAGCAATTTGTGTGCAGATTTGGGACTAATACCTCTAGGATCATCCAGGTTCAGATTATCATGCACCTTTCTCACCTACATTTTAATATTAGAGTACAGTTCGAGGAACGTAAAGCGCTCCCGGTAATTCAGGTGTTTGACTGCTTATACGAACTATGAATATTTTCAACATTTTTCAGTTTTACAATTTCTCCCTCCTTGAAGGGGGGCCATTAGAACAA